TATATAACACTAATATATTATATCTTAATCATATTATATATACGGTATATATATATATATATATATGTTTAATTTTATTATACAATTATATATTGTATTGCATTGAACACCTCAAAATATTCGCACATGTGAAAGTCTAACAATGTACACAGTGCGCTAGCATTCTGTTCACGATGTAGCCTAAATCTGAGCTGTTATATGTGACCCTGGAGCACCCTTAAGACTGGTTTTGTGGTCCAGGGTCACATATTAGATGTTTCCACATATTACGTGCATATCTTAGCTATGCAGGTTTTCCAGTGCTTTTTGCTAGTTTTCACTGAATTTCTCCTCTGTTCTGGGGTCAGTTCATGCGGGAGATGGCAGGTGCGTGGCAGATGACCGTCGAGCTGAAGATGGGGCTGTTCTCCGACACCCAGGTGGAGGCGGATCCCCTGGCGGCCTCAGAGGAAAGCCAGCCCGTCCCCTGCCCGCCCGACGTCACGCCCCACTACACCTGGATTGAGGTTACTTCCTGTTACCCTGTTTATCCGTCCAAGCTTATGGGCATTTTCATAGCTGTGGATTTACCCGTACAAAAGCTCCTTATGATACACACCTCAAATAGCTTGAAGACTCCTTGTGAGGAAATCTTACTCTCCTCTATTTTGATGAGGGTTGTTCTTGTGTAATTGCATCAATAAACCTTTTACTTCACGTTGCTACAGAATTGGTCTGAGCAAACAATTTGGTTTAATTTGTTGTGATGCATTTTATTTTTATTTTTTTGGTTTACCAAAATGGCAAACATTTTACTTATTCCATCAAGTCTTTTTTTCTGCATTTGTATAGTTTCTGGTCCAGCGTTTTGAGATCGCCAAGTACAGCAGTGCTGATCAGGTGGAGATTTTCGGCACTCTTCTGCAAAGGTCTCTATCTCTCAATGTTGGCAGCCCAAAAAGCAGCCTGAACCGCCATGTGGCGGCCATTGGACCACGCTTCAGGTTAGTAAGAAGACTGCACTGAAAAAAAATTATTCTATTGAAGTTTTAAATAAAGATTATTGGAGTAAGTTTTACAAAAAATTATATTTCAGACTTCAGTTTGCTCCAAACATTCACAGTTAATTCAACATAAATGGGCTGAAAAACTAACTTAATTTACAAATCACTTAATGAGTGAATTTCACGGTACCTGTCAAGAACAAGTCCAGGTCATATTTCACCCCTAAATCAAAAGAAAGAAATGTAATTTTTTATTTATTTATTTATTTATTTTTTGCTTTGCATAAGAAAAATTAAATCTATTTTACGGCCATTTTTGCAGTGATTTTTATAAAAAATTTTAACGACAATTATGCACATAGTACGTTTCACAAGAAAATACTATTTCAGTCTTTCTACTTCAGATTTTCACAGTTAATTCGATGTGTTACTTGCTGTGTTTTGTAATTATTTGTGAAATTTACTAGCAATTTTGGAATGAAAATTGTTAGTAAATCCTACACAAATCAAATCCTTTTTCAGTGCAGTTTATTACATTTACACTTGTTATTTCAGTAAATTTGAGATACTTTTATAGTTTTATTTTTGTATTTTTCGTTTTCATTTTCATTTTAATAAAAGTTTTAGTAATTTTGTTGTTTGTTTTTGTCATTTTTATTAGTTATTTTTGTTTTTAATATATCTATATAGTTTTTATTCATTTTTATTTCATTTTAATTTATTTTACTATATCAAGTTAAAGTGAAAATCAGAAATGTTGCTTTGAGAACTAGCTGAAATAAAATAAGTTTGTTTATATTTTATTTTGTTTTATGTTTATTTTCTTTCAAATTTTTTTTATGGATTTATTTGTAATTTTAGTTTTAGTTAATTATAATAACCCTGGTTGACACCAAGAAAAAAATATTAGGATTTTACTATTTCTCTGCCCTCAGGTTGTTGACACTCGGACTTGCCCTCCTGCATTCTGACGTAGTGACCAACGCCACCATCCGTAACGTCCTGCGGGAAAAGATTTACTCCACCGCCTTCGATTATTTCAGGTACTGAGTTTTTGATATGATAAATGCTTGGGGAGAAAATGGGAAAATGCTGCTATTGCACATACAGCTTTTACTGTAAATAATGACAAATGAAAACAAACAGCTATGTTATGTTTATAAACTGAAAACTGACCATAGACCATAGACCATTGTAAAATTATCAATCTCTTTGTTTGTGTATAGTCATATATCTGAATATACTGTACATGTGAAATGCCTTTACTTTTTTTTTTTTTTACTGTTTTTAAGTTGTAGCAGTGTGACTTCATTAATAGTATCATTGATATACAGTTATAGTTTGTTAACATTTTAAATTAGATTTTTTAAATATATTTTCTGTTTTCATTTTCATTTTAAAGTTTTAGTAATTTTACTTTTTTAAAAAAAAAATTTCATTAAGTGTTAGATTTTAGTTTTATTTTAGTACTTTAATTTGAAGAAATTCAAATGAGAAATTTTCCTTTGGTAACTAGCTGAAAGAAAATTTGTATAGTTTATTTTATTTTATTTTATTTCAGTTGATGTTTGGTTTATTGCAAATAATTAAAATGCTTTTTATGGTTTTACTTTTAGTTAACAATAATTACCCAGATTTGGATGTTTTTTTTTTTTTTTTTAAGACTCCAGTCTTATCAATAGCCAAATTAATTATGGAATGATTATCATTGGGATATTATGTTAATTATTATGGAATTTTTTTATTATGTAATAATTATGTAATTAAGTAAATTTTGCGAGAAGCATTAAGAATAATGAATAGATGAATGAGAAAGGATAAGTTAATTACTATTAAAAACTCAAAAGAAAAACAATCTGCTTGTATCACAGTAAGAAGAATTAGAAATTAAAGAATCCAAATTAAATTTATGAATTAATTTTTATTTTTAGTTGATTTAGTTATATTAGGTTAATATAATTTCAATTTAAACTTGGCAGCTGGCTGAAATAAAGTAGTTTTAAGTATATTTTGTTTTATTTCAGTTAATGTTTATTTTAATAAACATATTTTTCTTTAAAGTAAAGAAAATGCAGTTATAGTAAAACTTTAGTTTTAGTTGATGATAACTCTAGGGCTGTCAAACGATTAATCGCAATGAATCGCATTCAAAATAAAAGTTTGTTTACATATTATATGAGTGTGTACTGTGTATATTTATTATGTATATATAAATACACACACATACATGTATATATATTAAAAATTATAAATTATATATATATATATATAATTTATATTATGTATAAATATTAATATTTTATATATAAGTATAATTTTTTTCTTAAATATATATTATATTATAATAAATTATATATACATAATAAATACAAACTTTTATTTTGGATCGTGATTAATCATTTGACAGCCCAAGATAACTGATTCGTAGTGGATTTTCATTTTTAGTTGAACTATCCCTTAAAGGAACACTCCACTATTTTTGAAAATAGGCTCATTTTCCAACTCTCCTAGAGTTAAACAGTTGAGTTTTACCATTTTCAAATCCATTCAGCCTATCTCCGGGTATGGCGGTAGCACTTTTAGCTGTAGCTTAGCATAGATCATTGAATCTGATTAGACCATTAGCATCTGTCTAAGCTATTTTATATTTTTGGCTGCTTGTGTCCTTAGTAAATTAAATGAATCATCATTATTTTTATCTGTTTTTTTTCCAGCGTCGCTTCAAAGTTCCCCACTCAGGGAGACAAGCGTCTGCGCGAGGACATCAGCATCATGATCCGCTTCTACGCCAGCATCCTCTCCGATAAGAAGTACCTAGCTGCTAGTCAGCTCGTGCCACCTGGTGAGCTTGGCGCCAATCCCCCTCAAAGCTCCCTATCTGCTGGGATTTTCGGATCGCTTATCGTTTCCAGCACTTCTCCGATATCGATATTAAGTAAGCCTCTCTTGCTACGACTGTGCAACTACAGTGCAGCAGGAGCATGTTTATGTGGTTCAAATTTGCATGGCCACAAATTTGAAACCTGTACTAAAAATGCACGGCAATCATCCGAACGGCCGAATTTATCAATTTGTCGCCAAGCGCAAATTGACAAATGTGTCCGTCCCGTCTCTCCCCGCCTGAACCGCCACCACCCTTCTCTATCCATTGTAGAAAACATGATCTCATCAGAACATTAGCGCTCTCATGTAAAATGCATGATCATTTCAATATCAGAGAACTAATTGAGACTTCATTCGTCCCTTAAAGCCTCTCCATCGTGTGATGTGCTACATCTCCAGACAGCACCACAAATCAGTTGCTTCGCTTGCTATTTACTCGTCGAATGTATAATTTGCAGGCTTGACTTCTTCGGATGCTGTGTGTTAATAATTAATTAAAGCTAATGGGAAAGGGAAAGGAGAAAAAGTGCTGGAATGATGGAACAAAACGGTAAAAGGAGAAAGTTGGAAATGGGGTAAAAGAAGAACATTAATTTGAATTCATTTGTGAATCTCACGGCACCTGTCAGGAACATGTCCCGGTCATATCGCACCCCTAAATCAGATTTTATATTAAATTTAATATTATTTGAAAGTGCATTTTTTACACACAAAGAAATTAATAGTGTTTTTTTTTTTATTATTATTATTTTTATATTGAATATTTAAATAATAAGAAATAAATAATATATATTTTTATATGAATATATTTTCCACTAATGAATTTTAGCGCAATTTTTTCATGTAAAAAAATTCATTAATTTTTCCACACATTTTCAAAAAAATAATTCAGTTCATTTCGGTTAATTACTTTGTGAAATAAACATGATACATAAATACAAAAATAGTACATGATATATATTTAATGAGATAAAAAAAATATTTGAATGCATATATATATATATATATATATATATATATACATTTTTTTTTTTTTTCCCTGACAATTGTGCACATTTTCTGACACATTGTTAAAATAATTAATTAAATTAATTTCAATTAATTACTTTATATATAAATACACACACACACACACACACACATATACATATATATATATATATATATATATATACATTTTTTTTTTTTTTCCCTGACAATTGTGCACATTTTCTGACACATTGTTAAAATAATTAATTAAATTAATTTCAATTAATTACTTTATGTGCACATAATATAAAATACACATAATGCACATACATGGGCATAATTGTATATTATGTATTATTTTATATTAAGTGCATTTTTTTATGCACATTAAGAAATTAATTGTATTTTTAAAGTCTAAAAAAAGTCTAAAATCTGAAATAATTATCATTGGAATAATATTTAATGAAAATATTAGAAGCATTAATGAAAGAAAAATGAGAATTACTAAGAAACTCAAAAGTTCCGTATTACAGTAATTTACATTTTGGTTAAATGTGAAAACGTAATGAAAATGTCACAATGCAATAAAAATATTTGTTATAAATAAATTGGCTTCATTTTCTTTATGCGTATGGCTTTTTTTTTCTTTTGATTTTGGGGTAAATTAGGATCTGCACACACTCTTCATGAGATTCACTCTAATAGTGTAGTTACTGTACCAGAGAGGAGAATAAAATTCTGCAAAATCCTTCGTTTAACAACGTTTCCTCTCACAGACAACCAGGATCCGTCCCTGAACAGTTTGTCGGTGATGAACGCCACCGACCCGAGGAACAACATGGACATGACCATGGGTTCCCGTCAGCAGAGCGCTCAGGGCTGGATTAACACCTACCCCCTGTCCAGCGGGATGTCCACCACCTCCAAGAAGTCAGGTATCGCTCAAACACGCAACAGCTCTTTGACCCTGATTCGTTTTAATGGTTTAATCTGTTTAGCCAATATGCACCTGCTAATGCAATGATCTCCCTGATTGTTAAGGGTCAGCACTGCATTAGCTGAGCGATGAATGCTTTCTGAGCTACTGGAAATGAACTGGTGGCTGTTGTGTCACTTATTGCTTGTTTTCTAATAAACCATTGTAGTCAGTATAAATATAGTTCGTATAAATATAGTTGTTTATTTATTTATTCAAGTAGTTTGTACCAGATACCCTAGCAATATGTTCTATACCTATCTGTTTTTCTGATAGACTGTATTGCCTTGAAAACATTCAAAATGTAATCTTTAAAACTATTTTAACTTTCGAACTACTTTCAGACTGCAAGCTTTAAAAACTTTTTCAAACTTTCTAGCTAGGCCAACGTAAACTTTTTCAAGCCAACGTAAAGTTTGTAAACAAACATTTCAATCTAGTTTTATTTATAAGCTGTTCCCCCAAACTTTTGAATAAAGGGGTGTCTGTGTGTGTGTGTGTGTGTGTGTGTGTGTAATTCATATATATTATTATAAATATGTAAATATATAATAATAATATATATAAATAAGGGTTTTAAGTTGTATATGTTCTAGGGTTTTAACTTTTTATTACATTTGTGATTACAGGGCCTTAAAAAAATTATTAAATCAATTACACTAAAAAAAAATTTAATAAAAAAGAAAAATATTTTATTTTTTTAAAATTGAAATTGAAATAAAAATTTATTGACATTTAAGAAAAAAATTTAAATAATACAAATGACAAAAACGGTAATTTTTATTAAAATTAATTAAATTTTAAATGAAAATGGAAAAACATAAAAGTAAAAACTATTCCAAGATAATGAAATACTATAATAGGACCTCAGTGATACTAAAATAACACTGTTGACAGCGTAGAACCAGCTCTGCTTGTTAACCAGCTAGAGTAGTTAAAATGTTACACCTAAGCACCTCTAGTGTCTCACAGGTGTCCGGCCACAGTCCAGCAAGTTTAATGTTTTAATGTCTTCTGTTTTCTCTCACATAGGCATGTCCAAAAAGAGCAACCGAGGCACCCAGTTGCACAAGTACTACATGAAGCGCAGGACGTTACTGTTGGCATTACTGGTAGGGAGGCTTTTTCCCCAGCCTGGTTCCTGTTAAACAAATACACTCCTGTGTCTTGAACGTCTCTGTGCTTTCTTTACAGGCCAGTGAGATCGAGCGACTGACCACTTGGTACAACCCGCTATCAACGCAGGAGTTGGCCATCGCCACAGAGCAGTCGGTAGAGACCAGCATCTCTAACTGGAGATCCAAATACATCAACCTGAGTGAGAAACAGTGGAAGGTCAACGTCAACTTGGCCTGGAGTATCGCTCCGTATCTGGCCATGCAGCTTCCAGCTAGGTACGCCAATAACGAGACTGAAGCTCAGTTCCAAACTGTAGTTAGCTGTCTACCTTATAGCAATTTTCAGGCATGTATATTTTGTGCAGAATGCAGTTCCAGAATCTACTGTGTCGAGTTAAGGAAAAAATCTAGGACGTTAGGACTTTTTTTCCAGTGACATTTTTTTGATGAGAATACTGCACATTTTCCCCAAACAAAACTCTTGCTCTAATGTGGAAAAATATTATATATTATATTATATTATATTATATTATTCACATTTTTACACATCAAGATATTGTTAAAAAATGGTTTAAAATATTTTCCTATTTTAGCACCTTTTTAGCAGTGACTTTTTTTATGACAGTTATGCACATTTTCCCAAAACTTCAGAAAACAAAACTCTTTCTCTAATATGAAAAAAGATATGAAATATATTATATTAAATTATATTATTAAAAATTGCACTTATATTTTCATACAAAGAAATTTCCAAACATTATTTTTAGTGCTGGGCAATGATTAATCGCATCCAAAATAAAAGTTTTTGTTTACATAATATATGTGTGTGTACTGTGTATATTTATTATGTATATATAAATACACATACATGCAATATATTTTGAAAATATTTACATGTATATATTTATATTCATATCATTTATATTATATGTAAATATATTTAATATATAAACATAATATATTTTTCTTAAATGTATACATGCATGTGTGTGTAATTATATATGCTTAATAAATATACACAGAACACACACATATACTATGTAAACAAAAAACCTTTATTTTGGATGCGATTAATCACAATTAAAGGTTGCCCAGCACTAATTATTTTATCTTATTAGAAAGAAATTGTTTTTAAAAGACTGTTTAACTCAATAGAGTGGAAAAGATTTTAAAGACATCAATAGCCAAATAAAATCTGGAATCACTTCAATATTATGTTACTGAAAATTAAATGAGAATCATCTATGAAAGAATAATAAGAATTACAAATAAATTCCAAAAAATATGCAACTTTGCTACCTTCTAAGGCATCTCATTTTGACCAATTTTAAGGCAACTTTAGCTAATTCTTTTTAGAACTCATATGCAATCCCAGAATGCAATGCGTCGAATTCAGTGAAAAATGTCAGACAATTTGAGTTGAATAAGTGAAACCTATTTTAACCAATGTGGAAAAAATGTATTTATTTATTTATTGCACTGACATTTTTACACATAATGAAATTCTTTTAAAATACTTCTTAAAATATTTTCCACTCTTAATGAGATAAAGACTCCAATTGTATCAATAAGCCAAATAAAATCTGGAATAATAATCAATGCAATATTATGCTATTAAAAATGTAATCTGATAATCCTGTATTATTTGTGTGTTTACTAAAGCATGTTTGCTTATCTGAGTGGTGTACCAGTTGATCAGCAAAATGAGGTTTCAGTCCAGTTTTGAGGTTTTGGTAGAAAGCTCATGTTTTGATGACCTCTTTTCTTGTTTTGTAGGTTCAAAAATGCAGACGCCATCGTGGCTGAAGTGACCCGTCTGGTTCGACTGGATCCTGGCGCTGTCAGCAATGTGCCGGAGGCAGTCAAGGTTAGAGCCACCGTTCTGCCACAACAGTACATTATGTACCACTACGTGTTAAAAATCACTCTCAGTGTTGCTTGTGTTTTTTCCCATAGTTCCTGGTGACGTGGCACACCATTGATGCTGATTCTCCAGAGCTGAGCCACATCCTGTGCTGGGCTCCTGCAGATCCTCCCACCGGCCTCTCGTACTTCTCCAGCATGTACCCTCCTCATCCGCTCACCGCTCAGTATGGAGTCAAAGTCCTGCGCTCCTTCCCTCCTGTACGTACCAGCAGTCTCTGTCTTTGCCTCCAGACCAGCTCTTTCTCACTCCAAGAGCCCCCAGACATGAATTGACTGCTGCACTGACAAAGCTGTTCGTTTTCAAACGTTTTTATTTACGTAAACTTTAATTAAATATTTTAATATTTATATAAATATTTAAAATTACGTTTATAATGATAATAGTTAATAAAAATTATTTAATAAATTATTCAAATAATTAAATTCCATAATAAGTTTCAATAACTAAATGTTCATTAGGTTTACACTTTTTATTACCAGTGAATGTACTTGACTTTTACTTTTTTTGACATGACATAAGTAGAAAAAAGTGATTCATTATAAAAATTTCCTTGAATTTTTTTAATATTCTTGATATTGATTCCCATGGCTTTTTCAGGTCTAGAAATCACAATTTTAAAATTGCAAGTTTTACCCAATAAAATATTTTAGAGATTGACATAACTAGAAAAAAAAGTAAGTCTTTGAAAGGTCCTTGTCTTTTTAATGTTAATTCCCATGGCTTCTCCATGTCTAAAAATCACACAATTCTAATTAATTCCCATATTTTTAATATGAATTCCTTTTCCAGGTCTAGAAATAAAATTTTTCAAATAGCAATTTCTACCCAATAATATATTTTAAAGTTTTTGAAATTTCAAATAGCAATTTCTGCCCAATAAAATATTTTAGAGCTTGATATAACTAGAAAAAGTTATATTCATCATAGGAAAATAAGGATTTATTTATATTTGTAATATAAATATAATTTATATATTTATAATTTAGTTTTTATAATATTATAAAACCTACATTTATATAATATAGATTTATAATATAGGATTTTTAAGAAAATAACATTTTCTTGACTTTTTAATATTTTTAAGAAATTTAAATCATTAATTCCCATGACTTTTCCAGCCCTAGAAATCACGTTTCAAATACTAATTTCTACCCAATAAAATATTTTAGAGCTTTAATTTGTAATATTTTTAATATTAATTTCCATGACTTTTCTAGGTGTAGAAATCACACTTTTCAAATAGTAATTTCTACGCAATGAAATATAATAGAGCTTGATATAACTAGTAAAAATGATATTAATTGTAAACTTTTTCATTGACTTTTTAATATTTTTAATATTAATCCCCATGACTTTTCCAGGTCTAGAAATCATGCTTTTAAAATTTCCTGTTTCATACTTCAGCAGATATTTGAATATCAGATATTTGACAGCATTTAGCTACAGTTTCCATTGACGTAATTAGACCTTGACACTTTTGATCGTGGAAAAAATGAGACGCTCATGTCGTTTCAAACCCGTATGACTTTCTTTCTTCTGTGGAACACAAAAGGAGATGTTTTGAAGGGTGTTTATGATGTAAACCCCATAAATGTGTCATAAAAGTGGCCCTCGTCTTGCTTTATTCCTCGTGTGAGGAACAGATTAAGGTTTGTCCATTATGTTTCTGTGATTTCTCACTTGGTTTCTCTTACAGGACGCCATTTTATTTTACATTCCTCAAATCGTTCAAGCGCTGCGGTTTGACAAGGTGAGGAAGAGTGAACTGTGACCTTTCCTGAACTCCCTTTTCTTAACACAACAGTGGTTTGATCTGATTCTCACAGCCCTGGGCTGCTGTTAACTTCTATGCTGGTGTTTTTGACAGATGGGTTACGTGCGCGAGTACATCCTGTGGGCGGCACAGAAGTCCCAGCTCCTCGCTCATCAGTTCATATGGAACATGAAGACCAACATCTATCTGGACGAGGAGGGCCAACAGAAAGATCGTACGTAACCTGCTGCCGAGTTCAGTCAGAACGTGTCCAGTTACTCGCTGTAATTCAATTAGTGGTTCGATTAGTCAAATTACTCCCAGTTAACATACACTACTGTTCAAAGGTTTAGAGTCAGTACGATTTTCTTTTACTTATTATTAGAAATTATGACTTTTATACATCAGGGATGCATTAAATTTATCAAAAGTGACAGTAAAGACATTTATAATGTTACGAAAGATTTCCATTTCAAATAAATTCGGTTCTTTTGAACTTTCTATTCAAGAAATCTACAAAAAAATTATCATGGTTTCCACAAAAATTGTAGTTGCCCATTTTAAGGAATATTAAGATTTTTTTACATTTTCACAACAAACACATTTTCGCCTAAAAGATGGAAAAATATACAAAAATGTGAAAA